AATATTAGGGAGGCATTAATTCGTCTAGATTCCAATGATACTACGTCCAAACCGCTCCACAACTCACTATTGCTGATGTCCCTCTTGGGATATATGCCGTTAATTTTGAAAGACAAAAATTTAAAAAATTTACGCTGCACCTGCTCTATAATTTGGATATGTACATCATAAAAAGGTGACCAAATGACAGAGGCATATTCTAGTTTACAGCGTACAAAAATGTAATAAAGTAATTTAATTGCCTTAGTATTAGTGAGATTTCGAGTATTTCTAATTATGAATACGTAAGATTTAAGTGCTTCTTTAACCTTTAAATTAACATTTTCAACAAAGGTAAGGTTATAATCAAATGTAACTCCAAGGTCTTTAATTAATCAAACGTTCAAGTACATTGCCATTGATAATATAAGGATGGTATATATTAGACTGTTTCCTAGAATAACTAACTACTTTGCACTTATTAGCATTAAGATTCAAATGATTTGCATTACACCATTTATGTACCTGATTCAGTTTACTCTGCAGAAAATGACAATCATTAAGGTCGCTTATCAATGAATAAATCTTTAAATCATCGGCATAACATAAACATGATGCAGAAATTGATTCACACAGATAGTTAATAAATAACAAGAACAATAATGGAGCTAGATTAGAACCTTGTGGAACCCTCTGAAGAAGCTAGGTACTTTTCCGATTTGTAACCATTATAAGCAGCAAACTGCGTTCTATTTGACAAGTAAGACCTCATAAAAGTCACGGCATCCTCAGAAATACCAAAGAGACACAATTTAGAAAGTAATACGCCGTGGAGAATTCTGTCGAACGCCTTTGTAAAGTCAGTATATATGACGTCAATTTGACTTCTATTATTTAGGGTCGCTGAGATATATTGTGTGACCGTTAATAAGTTTGTCACAGTGGATCGATTGGAGACAAAACCATGTTTTGTCTCCAATCAATAAAAGGGATACATTGTATTGATCTCACGAGAATAATAAAAATTGGCAAAAATTCCGCCACCTTTATTTATTTAACAACTTTATAAAAACTAAGTTTATTTGGGGTGCAAAAATTTACAAATTTGTCGATAGGATACTCGGACCAAAAGATATTGAATTTTTACAGTCAAGCTGATACAAATTTTATTGAACATTGGTTTCACGCGTGTAAATAACATTTAACATCGCCGATCGTTTTAATCGTTGTTTCTGAGAGAACGGTTCATTTTACACAAAAAATGCCAATTAACGTTTTTATTCAAAAGTATCTTGGCTACATTTTTTATTCGAAACATTTTTTTCTATGGCGTACAGATTCTTGGCAAATCTATTTTTTCCGTTTTCCCCATCTTGTCCGTATAATTTTTAGAGGTTTAGTGGTATTTTTGCCTCTGACGGCTGAAGTATGATCATGAACATGAACATGGAAGTTCAAGCTAAGAAATAAGAAACAGTACAATATTAACAAAAGGGATAAAAGATATTAATTACGGTGTAATCATTTGTATAAAGTTTGTTTAGAAGTAAACGGTTGAGTTCAATGAGTACCGAATATAAACATTCTGGGATAACCGATAATAGTATAAAAGACCCGGTTTCAGGTAACGATGGTTTACATGAAGCACAAGGTTTAACAATGGGTCAAGTCAGATAAATTGGATAATATTTACGACCGCACTAATTGAAGTCAACCATTTTCTGCTAAGCAAACTTTACAAGCTACTCATCCATCCATCTTATGGCTCTACAGCCCAATTCGAGCCCTGGCCTGTCTCATCAAACCTTTCCATCAGTCACAGTCTGTAGTCATTCTCCTCATCAATCGACTATTACGAAGAGTGCTGGGTCTTCATCATCCCCCATCTTCCCATCCTACATCCTCTCAATGCTTTCTCGTTCTTTCAATAATTTCAAAAAATACATTTTTGCATTCAACAGTTTTTTTGAAAGCCTATTTTCTGTCATTCTAAATACATGGCTTGCCTATTGAAGACTCTGTATCCGGACATAATGAGTTAAAGGCGAAAAATATATGCTTTTATATTTACCAATTTAGTAATTTAATTAACAAAGGCGGTGACACAAATCACAAATTCTGCAATGGGCAGAGAAACCGATTATTTCGACTCAAAATCTAACGGAAAAAGGAAAATGATTGCCACCGCTGACCCATTTATAACAAGAATATTTAGATAAAAAAGTAACGTTAATTTTTTTGGATGGTTTTATTTTCGACGATAAAGATACTTCGTAATAGTAGAACGCTTCTCTGATATATTGCCTTTCGATATTTGCAGACAAACAGACTGACGACAAGTAAAAATAGCGGTTGACTTGTAAGAAGATTCAATGAATTTGCTACTGACGTTTGTTTTCGTACATAGCAGAAATACCCATAACACACCGATTATTTAACGTATATCTTCGGTAAAATGGTGGATGAATGATTCGCGGTGAAATCAAAGCCAGTATTAATTTTCCTTGGTCCTTTTCAGGATTAAATACGTACATGTGACAGAACATGTTTTATTACCCCGTAGATAAACCCTGTTAATGGAGTTTTTAAAGTGCTTCAATCTGTTCGATGATGTGGAACGCTTACGCTGTACGATAATAAAAGCTCAAAATAGACCCGATAAGCTTTTTATAGTTTCTATTTATAATGATAGACAAAAAAGTATCTTGTAACTTTATAAACATTACATGTTTGTTATTCTTTTATTAATAATTATTTTATTTCAATTTTTATTCATATATTAACTGTATTATCATTTTACTATTTTTATTCTAAAAATAGTTGGCACTCAACTCTTCGGTCCATTTTCTGTTTACTAAATATTCTGTCATAATCTAAATTCCAATTATAATTTTCACTTAATATTCTAATTCCTGTTTTCAGACCACATTATGTTCTAGAAAATATATAAATTAAAAATCGAAGTAATATACTTCTATTGTAATTGTTAAATTTGATTAAAATTAAATTTAAAAATTTAATTAGTTCATCTTCAGTGGACTTTATAGTACTTGCAAAATAACCTTAAAACTAAACAGTGGTTTGGTTAAATACCAACTCAATGAGTTGGCAGTTAACATTCCGACACTTCGAATGCAGTCAAATACATGGAATATATCATTAATTTTATTTAAAATTTTTATAAACAACGCAATTTTTAAGTAAGAGTACCGTACTCCGAAAGTGGGTGAAAATGGTCAGCTGCCGTTACTCCAATTACCGTTCCTGGGGGGTTTGAAATGTTTTTATGTTACGTCCATTTTTTTAAGTCTCTAAAATTTGGTTTTAAGTTTAATTTAAAGTACTAAAGATAGCAGTGCCAAAGATTCAGGTATCTATTATCCTGCCTATCAACTAATACCACCCTCTCTTACTTGTGCGCATTTGACTGTCGCACGTATCGTACTCCGAAAGTGGGCTGGCTGCTGTAAGGCCGACGACATGTTTGGAACACTCTCTTCTCTTATCTATTGTTCTGAAGCTATTTTCTTGTGACATTTTAAAGTAATTACTATTTTAATGGGAATAAGCCACAATTGAAGGTTAAAATAAGTTTATTGACGTTTGACATTAATCCAACTTGTAAATACAGTACATTTTGGAGAGGACTATCGCCGTATTCCCGTTCTCCTCCCCCAATCCTCCCGGTCCAAGGCATGCTTCTCCTCTAAACCTCTCGATTTCATCGCTCTTCTAATTCCTTCATTACATGAGCGTTGAGATCTACCTCTTTTTTTCTTACAGGGGGCTTCCATTTGTGAAGGTTTTGGGGCCAAAGTTCGTCAGGCATTCTCAATAGGCGTCCAAACCATTTTGAACCTCTTCTTTCCATTCTCTCAATGACCGTTTTCGATGACCGAATGTAGCCTTTATGTTATTTCTTATAGATTCGTTGGTCTTCCTTTCCCACCTTGATGTTCTAACACTTCTTCTCAAATAATCCATTTCAACTGCCAACAATCTTTTCTTCAGGTCTGCACTAATTGTCCATACTTTAGAGCCATAACAAAGAACTGATTCAACCATGGTTTGCTCTATTCTTTTTTTGTTCCTTTTTAAAATGTTGCGATCCCACCATAAGGAGTTCAGACATCCTACAATTTTACGTCCCTGATTAATTCGGTGTTTAATTTCGGTTTCTCCCAAGCCATTCTTAGCAATGAGTGCACCTAAATCTTTAAATTTTTCCACTTGTTTGATTTCCACGTCCTCGTCTATCAACACTTCAAACCTTGCATCTGAATTGATAATATTGTGTTTTCTTCATGCTGACTTGTAAAGTCCAATTTTTAATATTCTCTGTATAGACGCTTTATCATAAATTCTAGATCATAAAAATCTTGAGCTAGGACGACTTGGTCATTCGCAAATTTTAAGGAGAACAGTACGTCATTTCCTATGGATATTCCCATTATCTGGCAGTGGTTTTTCAAATTTTAGAGGGCTGCCTCATTATATAAATTAAACTGTAAGGGTGACATACTGCATCCTTGTTTTAGTCCTTTAGTTTCTTTTATTGGCTCTAATAGTCTATTACTGATTTTTGGGTAAGTAATGTTATCCCTGTATACTTCTATGATTATTCCTAAAAGGTATGTACTAATGTCGAGTTGTTGTAAAGCTTACCACAATTTAAGTCTTGGAACTGTATCATACGCCTTTTCTAGGTCGATGATGGCTAGATGTATTTCGGTACCAACCTTTATACTTTTTTCTATTTATTGTTGGAGTATAAGCAAGTTATCAGTGCAAGATCAAATATCAAAAATTCAAATGTCAATAACCATATTTTAACCTTCAATTGTGGCTTATTCCCATTAAAATAGTAATTAGATCTTATCTCTGTCGTTGGCCCGGTTTGCGTTTCTCTTCTTCTTCTTTCTTTTTAATGACTGCTCGAATGTAGTTGTGAACACTATTCCATCCCTCCGTACTTCCTGTCATCTTCACGATCATCTCTCTTACAGTCACAGGGTTCATACCTATTTCTTTATACATTCTGTTTCTCGTCGGAATATTCGCAGTATAGGCAGTTATCTGTATCTGTCTTTCTGAACCTATGAAGATATGCCCTAAAACAGGCAATCTACCTAGTCCGTTAAGCTCGGGATCAGCATCTTGGTCCACTGGGCAACATCTTCCTTGTTGTTCCACTTTTCTTGCCATCTTTCCATTGATCTTTTCCTTTCTTTTTTTTTATAGCTGTTGTCCAATGCTCTCTTCTCTCATAAAGATGTCTCTTTTCTACTGCTAACACATCCAGAAAAACACAACCCGTGATAGTCCGCAAGGTCGCCGCAGATACAGTCCCGTAGGAATGCTACTCGCAAAAGACTCGTTCTGTCTACTTTTTCATAAGTCTAATATTAGATATCTATATCTAAATATAATGAAAAATATAATTAATTATTGTGTATTTATACAATAATTATTGTGTTCTACATATTTAAAGTGGTAATTTAATTATTCAATTGTAATGTGAGCGTAGCAAGTGAGTGAGAAGTTGGAAATAAAGGGCTAAGTAGCATAGAAAAAGATAATAATTATTCGAGATAATTATTATATATTCCAAATCAAATAAGGGATAATTATTACAGTAAAATTTGCATTTTAAATCACACAAAGAAATTGACCTAGTTATTGCATTGTTTGATAATTGTTTAAACGTATAAAAAGCACGAAACTATTGTTGTAAAAAAATAACAACACCCGTGACCCAAATAGGAGCAATAACGCCAAAACTACAATTCGGCGAAAACGCAACCTTGGACTACAACCGGTCAATGAGGACACCATTTGATAAAAACCGAACTACGGACGCCACTCAGTCAGTAGTGATACGGCGGGCGTCCAGGCACCAATTGCCTCCGGGTACTCTCGACGCGGTAGCGTCGGGTACGAGTAGTCAGTAATGGGCAGTCAGTGATAGCTGGGCACCGTGGCTGGACGCGATAGCGTCCAGTACGCGATCAGTACGGGTAGTCGGTAATAGAAGTCAGTATTTAGTCCGGTTATTGTAGCAGCTCGTAAGTTCGTAACTCAGGAGGAGAACCTTAACTGACCGAGTTCCAGAAGACTGAACGTGTCGTGGTTGAAAACCCTAATACGCACATAAGGTAACAGATTTCTTTATACTAACCTGTGTAATTATATTAGTACAACTGTCAACTCTTCACTATCTTGCTTCATCGTCTCCCGACGCGCAGAATAACGTGTTAACGATTGTATTTGTAACTTCAGGGTAGATTCAATATATTGTTGACTCTAAATTAGTTTTTTTATGTTCCTTTCGTCCGACTCTCTAGAGACTAGGAGAACACGAGATTCTGCGTATGCATATCTCCGGCTTCAAAAGTAAGCCCATAACCTCTGCTCTTTACAGGACCTTAGACCTAGGAGTCCTTACCCCTATCCCGAAATCTCTTATCTTCTCGTAAATCCACGAAGACGAGCCAGCCCTCCAGACCAGTGTGACCAGTATTCCTTGCAGCCGCTCGCACGGTTAGCATCCCTTGAGGATCTATTGTGTATTTCATTTGGTGACAGCTTTTTCCTTACCTTCATATAACGCTCCCATTCCTATTATTTTACAGTGGTGACACCGGAGTCGCCTCAGATTATTACACTGGTGACAGCGGCGTCTCGCCTCTGGTTACCACACAATTAGCGTTTTGAATTTTTTGTATTGTGTGTGAAAGACAAGTTACATTTTCCTACTATTATTTATATATTTTATATACAAAGTAGACGTTTATCATTCATAGACGAACATTTGTCTTGCTTCACCATGTTAGCTTTATTAATATTTATCATTGTATTTACTGTATACATTAGCTGTAAACATCAAAATAAATGATTTCCAAAATTTCAAGTATTTGCTTTCAGGATCAGCCACTACCTTCATCAGCCTGCAGAAATTCCATTAGGCAGACACTTAATCAATTATTGAAGTTGAATGAAAGTTTTTCATTAATAATGGAGTTGTTATATGTGAAAATAGTAACCTGGCACTCACTAGAATTCACCGACTTTCCGTTGCAACATTCCTGTTTCCAGAGAGTTACTGATAACGCTTTGTCTGAGTGTTCGTTAACAGCCAGATTAAATATTTGTGCTTTTAACTTTTAACATCACTTTAGAGCCATTACTCATAACTTAGATAATATGATTAATAGCAAATTGTATATTTCATTTATATTTATCTCACTGCCCGGCGAATTATTAGCTGAGTTCTATTAACTCTTTTATATTCAGATTAAATTAATTAAATTTAATAAAAATTTAAGGATCTAATTTATGTGGCAACAAAACTTTATATCTTAATTTCATTATATTAACTGTAAAAATAATTTTAAACTTATTGTAGCATATCCTGAAAAAGCAAATATATTTTGCGAAAGCTAGATGTTAACAGGTTTTCTTATCCTATTATTTAAAAAAAAATTGATGTGTTGTCGACGTCCGGATGCGTACGAAAATTTTTGGGAGAAACACCGACGTCCCAAGTCATCTATGACTTAACGATAACACGAAAAAAGTCCCACCAGAGCTCAATTTTTTTGATACTCCAGGTATCTGGGATGAGTAAATTTTCCTCTTAAAGGGAGTGTGAACCGTTTGGCTAAATCTGGATGATAATATCGAATGGCATTTTACGAACGCGACCCTCTCAAGAGTCGAGTGTAAAGTTAGAGTGCAGAACGGAGTTTCCAGAAAGTTTCAGTCTCAGATAGGAGTTAGACACGGATACAGCCTATTATGCCTTCTATTTAATATTGCACCAGAGAAAGCGATAAGAGAATCTTGAATAACAACCAGAGGAACTAATATTAATCGCAGCGTACAATTACTAGCGTACACAGATGACATCGACATTATTGCAAGAAGAAAGGCGGACGTGGTCGAATCATTCAAGGCGCTTGAAGCAGCAACACTAGTAAGAAGAAGTATATGAAAGTATCAAATTATATACAAGCAGCACAACCCGAAGATCTAACGATCGGAACATATACTTTCGAAGGAGTAAGAGAGTTTATATACCTAGGCTCACAAATTAATCAGAATACTGCAGTAAGTGCAGAAATTAACAGACGGATATATCTGGCAAATAGAGCCTATTATGGATTAAAAAAAATTTAACAACAAGCCTAGTTACAAAAAGAACGAAACTAGTGATATACAGAACTCTTATCAAGCCCACCCTCACCTACGCGTCGGAAACATGGACGATGACAAAGAGCGATGAAGAATGTTTAAGATGCTTTGAGCGTAAAATTCTCCGGCATATTTATAATCAAAGAATAGATGGAGTGAGAAGGAGAGGCAGACCCAGAGCACGATTTAAGGATCAGGTGGAGGAAGACTTGAGAATGTTGGGAGTACGAAATTGGTAAGTCGAGCCGAAGAATAGGAGGGAATGGAGACTTATCCTTGAGCAGGCCAAGACCCACCATGGGTTGTGGAGCCAATGATGATAATATCTAACCTGCACTGCATTCTAACTGTGGCTTCTACAATAAGTAAAACGTGTTTTAAATTAAAATTGTGGTTATTTCCCATTAAAAATGTTTTAAGAAAAATAGTTTCAGAACTATACTAGCTACCATTCTTTAAATCATATTAATGAGAAAATGTTAAAGTTTTTCCTTATATACCTAGATACATTTTCTTAATGTCATTATTGTTTGCTAATTTTTCTAAGCTTTAAGTTAAACCCTAAAAATGGGACAACTTTTTCTAGCAAATTTATGCACTAATATTTTGAAACAAAAGCAAGCACTAACATATACAATATTTCTTTGTCTAGCAGTTTTCAGTAAGTTTAAAGTCACTGGGTAAAATTAAAAAATATAGTTACAACAGCGTAGTAAAATTGCTGCGAGTCCTATCCCTACATTGCTTTGTTTTATATTTTATCTTGGCATGACAGGTCTATTATTCTTAAAACCGCTCGCTTGACGTTATATTTAAAATGTAGCTTTTTGTTGCTTTTATAGTATACCTATCAGGTTTAATCTTTTACACAATATCCAATTCTTAAACTGTATTATACTGTCTTAGACATAAAATTAAGTTTTATTATATTTTTTTTTTCTACTAAAAAAGGTGCGTATTCACCTGAAAAAAATATTTCACCAAAACTGAATGGGCATTTTTTACAGACACTTTCATATATTTGGACTATAAAACTTCAGAAACCGATATGCAACAAAGAAAACTTAAAAAAAAACAAAAGTTAAGAATAGTATATTCAATTGCACAATGAAAGTAAGAACAAAATCGAACAAGCGAAATAGGAGTTGTTGCAAATAGTGTGTAGTAAAATTAAAAATCTATAAGTCACTTCTTTTTAAGGTACCTTCTCAATTACTGAAGGTTGGCTACAACTACGCAAATTGCTTTCTATCTTGAGCTGTTCTTAGTATCGAATGTGTGTCAATGCCTGTCCAGTCTCTTACATTTTTCGGCCAGGAGCTTCTTCCTGGACCTCTTCTTTCTTCCACTTTTCCTTTCATTATCAGTCGTAGGAAGTTGTATTTTTCTACTCTGTAAATATGTCCTAGATCAGTAGTTCTCAACCTTTTCATCACTGAGGACCACTTGTACCTTTCAGAACTCTTGGCGGACCACTTAGATATTATTATCATTTCCTAATAATGGGTAAAATGAGATGAACACTGAAATTTTACTAATGAATTTATTATTTACAAAATAAAAAAAGAAAATACATATTGAAAGACAAACGGTATATAAAAAACAAAATAAAAAGTCATAGATAGCGCCAAATTAAGACGTTAATGACTCCCTTGGTCTTGCTTCTCACTTGAAAGTTTCTCAATATTTGGATCGAAAGAAGTTAACGCAGTCTCATAGGAGCATTTAAATTAGCAACCTATTTCTGTGTTTATTCTTAATGACATATAATGTTGAGAATGATGCCTCACAGAGATAAGTGGAATGAAAAGGAAGAAGAAGTTCCAAAGCTTTTTTACTTAGCAGTGGACTTTCATCAAGTAATCCTATCCAAAAATCTGCAACATTTTCGCAGTGAGATTTTATCACTTTTAAATGATCATCGGATGAAATTTCAATAAGCTGTTCATTTTCCTGAATAGAGAGTGGATTAAGGACTTAACCAGTGAATGTAAAACATCCTCATTTAAGCC